TTTTGCTTTAAGGGGAGGGGGGAACCCGTATAAGCCTATCTGGACATGATTATGAATGAATTCTGATCACATTTTCTACAATGAGATAAATGACTTGGGATTTGAAAGCAGATGCTTTTAATTACTGATTTTCTTTGTTTGGTGGGGCCCAGTGCAGCACCTGTACATTGTTCTTTCTGGACAGATGTACTGATGCCCCTTTTGCGTGCTCAGATCCATAACACTGAGATAAATTATGAAGGGTTCTTGGCTTCCTCCACTGAAAATGTTTTCAGCTGTCAGAGATATCTGTTTCTTGTTACTGGTTTTAGTGCTTTTGAAGGGAAGACTAAACCACTGACTTGTGTATTCTGTTATAAATGAAGAGTATTCTCCAATGGAATCCACAGAGAATGAGGGATGGATCTCCTTGGTCTGTTAGAAAAGCTGTGCAGGTATTTAGTTTTCCAAAGTACTTCTAGAGAGTAAAATTTTCTTTCCTACAAAGATGCTAACAGCGTGTCAATTCCTAGTCCACTGATTTGTATGAGCTCAAACTTAATTTAAAAGATTAATAAACAAGGTTAATAAGAATCAGATGTAAGTGGCTAAGACACCTAATTGTCTCTTAAAGTAATGAGAATTAGGAGCACAAATGTATTTTCCTACCTGGCCTGGATCCTGGCAGCTCAAGGAGATAGCACAGGAAAGAATCTCCCCCATGTAGGTGGCAAGATTTTATCCTGCGTGTTCAGTTTCAAGCTTAAAAATATCAGGGATTTCAAATCTGGTGTTCCCTGGTAGAGCAGAAGGGAGGCTCTGTGTACCTCGTGTTACTTCACATAAAAAGAAGTGAAGGACTAAGTTTTTAACAGAGAACTCTTTACATGGAAGTATTCCTGTGGTATTTGAAATAACAGGTGCTAAGAAGCAAGCAAACAAAAACTCCGATGTTTAAGCGCCCTGATTAAAACGTCTCTTTTCACCTGATAGTTCTTAAATCCCGTTTCTTGTGATTTTCTGTGGGGGTCAGTGTCACTTCAGGGGGGTCTGGCCCCTGGTTGAGCTGGCTGCACTTGGCTGGGGAGAAGTCCAGGCAAAGGGAGTTGTGTGAGCCCTTCCCTCTAACCTTGCTTAGAGTTAATCCTTTATATTAAAGGCTCACCAGATTTGGCTCAGAGCCCTCATTAATCACCACCTCTGCACATCACAGATGTCTTAATCCCACTACTTCTTCATTTACTGGTGTGTTTACAGAGCAGAAACGACCTGAATTACCACAGGAATATTAAAAAAATGGTTTCACTTTCCTTTCCCTTGGAGACACATCACCCTCCCAATCAAGTCATTATTTGTCAGTGCCCCAGCTCCTGTTGGGAACAGAAGTGCTGTTTGTCACAGCAGCACAAGTGACAGAGAGCCTCAGTCACACACACAGGGATCGTGTTCAGGTCCTACAAAGTGACCTTGTTGGGCCATTGCACTAAATTGGTGCAAATCCCAAACTTGGTGCCACCACTCAAAGTCACTTAACTTCAATCAGATCAGTTTCATTAAAGCTGATAATTTATCACACTGAATATTCTAAATTGCAATTTACAGAGATGGTCTACAAATGAAACTAAGTACATTTTTAGATGACTTGGATAATAACAGCTAAAAAAAATAGCAGAAAGTAAGCCAAATGCAACATTCAACCCAAGATTTAATACTAAAAGCTGTTTTTCTGTCCTCACTCTGCTACAAATTAAAATAGACTATTTTTGCAATGGGCAAAATGAAACTCAGTTTGACATTATACATGGCAAATGCTACAAGAAATGCTAAAATAAACCCTTGCTACCTGAAATAAAAAATAAATATACATTTTAACCTGGATCATGCCAAGCCCACTTTCTGCATGCTGAAGTATTTCTCGGCCAACCACTTTTAGCTAAATTAATATCAATATAAGTAGATTTTTTTAGTGTAGCATACACTTCATTCCAGAATTTGAAAAAATGTGCTCCATACTGAATAAAGCCAGTATAAATACATTCGGTAATGAGGTCAGATTTTGTTAGAACATTTTCAAGTGAATTAGATAATTTTGTCAAACTATTTAAATGTCTCAGCAAACCATTTGGGAAAATTGACTGCTGCACTTGGTATTGACTTTGGCAAAGGACAGTGTAACATAGGGCTTTTTTTGTTAAAAAAAAAAAAGAAAAAGCCTTTAAATCAAATTCTGAATCTCATGTCAAACTTGAGTAGACTATTTGTACTCTGCCTCATGTAGTTTTTGGCATCTGGCACATTTGATGACTCAGTAATTAGATTTCTTGATAGTAATCACTTGGTTCCTGCCACAGACTGCACGATGTGATCCAGCCTTGTCACGGTCCCGATCCCCAGAGCAGGAATTCTCTGCGTTTGCTCAAACCCCAATGCTGAGGCAGCTGAGAAATGAGGGCAAAGCCTCGGTGTGAGCCAGAGAGCTGCAGCAGTGCCCGTGCAGGAGGCAGGGAGGGTTCCCTTCCCACTGCAAACCTCATCTGCCTTCCAGGAGGGGTGGCACTGCCACGAGCTGGCCAGGGGAACAGCCCTGGAATCCAGGGGCTCCCAGCATGTGAGCGTGAAGTGATTTTGTCCAGTTAAATGTATGGATGCTTTAAAGAAAACTGTGCTAAATGAAACTCAAGGACTATTAATTAGTTCACACAAAGTTTCTGCACTTGCAATTAAAATGTCATGTATGGGCTGCATTTCAGCAGTCATGAATAATGTAAGCATAAAGCATTAAATACAGCAGAAGGATCTTGGACTGGGAATGACAATAGTGAATGAAGATTATTTTGAGTTTAGAAAATGGTATTTGAGGTGCTGAAAAATTCCAAGTAACTATGTCATGAAACTGGATGCCCTGTTTTAAAATAACTGTTCAGAAATACATTCCAGTCTCCATTCCCTGACGTTTGGCTCATGGTTAGGAATCTGTTATCTCACTCCCACATTTTGTCACAAGATATTTGGGCAAAGACTTTACTTAGGTACATGAGCACTGAGATAAGAAATCAGCACTGTTGTCTCCTCTGAGAAAGAATCCGAACTGCACTAAAGCTGGAATTGGCAGAGACAATTCTGATGGAAACTCTGGTGTGTCTGCAGCAGGAGCTCAGTGAGAGAGAGGCTCAGCCCACTGACCATGGTGCTCCTGCTGGAAGGGAAGTGCTGTGCTCTGGAATGGAGACACCAGGGGCAGGAATGACAATTCATCTGGGGGCTCCCGACCCCTCAAACTGCAAACTTGTCTGCTGCCCTCACCCTGCTCAGGCCTTTGCTTTCATTTCTTATTAGCAGCACCAGGACACAAAGTGCCTTAGAAACAAATCCACCTTCCTGACAGCCTGCTAAATCCTTCCCATGGTATATCCTTACTTTATTTCATTCTTGGTTGGGATTTTTGCCTTAACTCCCCTAGGAACCAACTCCAAGAGGAAAGAGCTGAGCAGTGCACTGGGAGCAGTCAGAGAGAGGGATCCCACTCCAACAGGCTCAGGCAGTCCCTTCTGCAGGGAAGAACAGCTCATGGATGACCTTCACTTTGGAATGTCTGTCTCCATTCCTATTTGATCTACTGCCTTCTCTGCCACAGAAAACTTCCTATTTATCTGGAGTAATTTCCAGTGCCTCCTGCTGGCCACGACTCTGCCATGGAAATGAGTCTGCCAACAGGAAATACAAGGCTGGGAATGTGGCAGGGCAGGGAAGGAGAAGGGCTGGGCACAGGCATTTTATGGGACAAGGACAGGATATCCATCATACTGGCAGGGGGACACTGGTACTGCTACCGGCCGAGGTCAGAAGAGAGGGCTGAAGGAGCAGAGGGTACAGAAGCTCAGCTTGCTGCAGAATTCATTCCCCAGTTAGGAAAATAAGAAGGACTAGTTTGCTCCTAATTGAATTTCCTCAATCAGATTGTTCTCCAGCCACCCCAGGTGTAAATTTCCTTACCATACCTCTTCCATGCCACACACACTCTGCCTTCTGCCCTTTGCTTAAAATCCTTCTGGGCTTTCCTTGCCCCATATAAAAGAAGGGAAAGGTGAGTCACTGGACTAGGATGGGAAAACTCTACATGTAATTGCTACATTTGCTAAAGGACACCAACATGTTCCTAGGGAAAGGAAATCCTTTAATCTCTCTGTATCTTAAATTCCCATCAGTAACACCAAATCAGAGTCCTTTCCCCATCCAGAGTGCTGGGAAGTAAAACTGTAAGTATGAATTTGAATTTGCATGAGGCCAGGCACCAAAGAAATCTGAGTAAAAAGGTTAGAGCAGTTTTGTGGCTTGCAGAGATTCTTTACTGTTGAGATGGTATGAGAGCCTTGACACACGGTGCTTTAGAAATCTCACAGCCTGCAGCCATGCAATTGTATCTCTGCTGTAGCAGTGCAATCCATACAATCAGTGGGATTAAAGACTCTTCCCTGATTAGGATCTGGCCTGCTGCTGAGAGGTGCATTGCAGAAAACCTTATCAGAGAGCAAGGAAGTGAGAAAGCCCTGGCTCTGACACTGAGTGAGCCTTACTAAGGCAAACACAGCCTGATTCCTGAGTGAGTCATAGTTCAGGTTTTACCCTCTGCGAGGTTTCTCATGTTAGCTGAGAAAAATTCTCTGTGCTTATCCAAACCTATGAGAAGTCATCCAGCAAGAATTAAAAAACAAAATTAAAATCTAAATGTAACTGCATGCTATGAAGAAAAAAAATCCCATTGTGTTTTGTCAAAGACAAGGACAAGGCCCTGAACAACCTGATAATGATGTCCAAGTTTGCCCTGCTTTGCAGGGCACGGATGACATGACCTTCTGAGGTCTCATGAAAACTAAATTATTCCATGATTCTAAAACAAACAAAATTGCTTTGTTTGGGCCAGTGTTTTCTTTTGAACGGCATCCATGCAAAGTAAAATAAACAATTCATCATCCATTATCATGCCAGACACAGGCCCAGCGTGTTTCACATCACACACATACCCGTCCCTGGCACTCTCCAGCGGCGACTGGTGGTGATGTGGGCTGGGCAGGGCGGAGTCGAGGGGAAGGTGCCTTGGAGGAATGTCATGAGGAGGTGGCAGCACAGCTGGGGAGGGGCCGTTGTGGCTGGTGCTGGATCCACTGTACATGCCTGGGAACACACAGCAGATGGCAAAACAAAGTAAGCAAGGAAGCATCAAGAAGACCTGCAGGACCTGCAGAGTCTCCAACTCCTTCCCTATCCCCGCCCTGACCCGAGCCACAGCCCCAGAGCAGAGCCCCTGTGTGTCAGTGAATACCCCTGTGCCTGAGCAGCACTCACAGCTGTGCCCTGGTACTTTGGCATGTGGGTGTCTCCTCTCTGACCCAACCAGGTGTTCCTGGACTCTGCAGAGCTGTAGAACCCTCCTGACAGCCACGAGGGCTTGGTGGGACTCCCACCCTGCCTTTCCCATACCTGTGAGAGAGAACCTGCTCAGGGGATGGAGCTCACACAGCAAAACAGACCATGGTACCCTGGGGTTTTGCTGTTCATTTCCAGCTCTGTAATTTGACTTTCCATTACCAAGCTGCTGGGCATCCCAGACCATTTACAAATATCACATATTGATACAAAGGAAACCCCAATAAATTAAATGCAAAGAGGAACAAAGAGATTTTTTTTAATGAGATCATGAAAACAGGTTCAGTAGTACAGAATACTGAAGAGGTTAGATGCACCATTTTTGGGGACTCTCCTCTACCATGGCAGCAAGGCACCAACAGCCAAGTGCCTACCATGCCCTCAAGCACACCCTTTGCTGAGGAAGCTTTGTCCAGGGCTCTTGGATGAAGATGCTGGAATTAAGTTTTTTTGGAATTAAGTTTTTTTCTCCCTTCTGAAAAGTGACCATGCACCAAGACAGGCACTGCCTGCAGGGCCCTCACACTGACTTTTGGTGTGAAGGCTGCACTGAGAGCAGCTTGCTGTGGTGACAGACATCACAGGAGTGCAAGCATGGAGTGTGCAACAGCCACCTTATGGCAGGGGATAAGGGCTGGCTCCTTGTCATGCTGCCCTGGGAAAAGTCTAATCCTTGCCCTTCTCTTCCCAGTTTTTCTGCCTTTCTCATCTTCAAGTTTTGCCCACAACACATCTGCCACAGTTCTGTCCCACCCTCCCAGGGAATGTGCACATGGATGAGCACCAGACCTGCCACTCACACTGTGACCTGAAGGCTGTGAGCAGTGAGTGAGTCTGCCAGCTCCCAGAGTCCAGCTCTAGAGCACAGAGACCCCAAACTCCCTCTGGGGCCTGTCTTTGCCATCTCTCCTCCTGTACCATTCATCTTTCTTTCCCACTCAGTGTGTGCAGAGCTGCACATCCAGGACAGAGCCATGTGCCAGCTGTGCTCGGCCCTGTCCCATGTCACTGGCAGGGCTCTGCACTGCACCCCTCCCAAACCCTCCCAGTGACATGGAACAAGCAGAAGGCAACATGAAAATTCAGAGCTGTGGGGTATGTGTGACACCCTTGGGGTGGAGAAGCAACATCTGAATGTCAGCATCTGTTTCTGTGTGTGACTGAAGAGCAGAACCACCGAGGCAAGATTCCAGCCACCTTTGTCAGGGGCTTCAGATGAGTCAAAAACCCCTCATGAACAATGAGTCCTCAGCTGCTGACAGATCTAAAGCAACAAAACTGAACCACATCATCTCTGTCTCCAGCTAGACAGAACATTTGTCAACCAGCCAGTGAAAACAACTTGCTTTCTGCACTGCACACCAGACAGAAGGGGCTTTAAGAAATCAGATGTTCCCAGGTGATGCGAGGATTTATTTGTCAAAGCCTCTTCTGGTAACAGTAAGTCAGTAGCAAGGATGCTACATTGTGGAAATGCTTTTCCACTGGTGGCTTCAGTGCATTTCACAATACAACAGTTTCCACTTCCCTCAGATCCTCACTGTTCATACACACATTGTCAGGCTTGAAAGATGAGCCAAATTTGACCTCGTCTCTTCAGTGTCACTTGGCACTTCAGCTCTATTTCCCACACCACCAGTTCAGGTATATTGACAGCACAGCCTGGAGGAAACTGCAGAACCTAAACCAAGCTGTTCATGCTCTAAGGCTCCCACACTGCTGGCCCAGCAGTAACTTGTGCAAAAAGCTCAAAAGCCCTCAAAAGAGGGTCATCTTAGCAGTGTGGTGGCCAGCAAACACACTCCATGTTTTCTTTTTCAATCCAGCCCATGTTCAGGATGTCTCTCTCCTGGCCTGTTCCTGGAGGTGATGAGAAAGACAGAGTAGCTGCGTACCTACAATCAGAAAACCCTCTGGAAGGAGCAAGATGATGTTTAAAAAAACACCCCACAACTCAGGGTGGGCAGCAGCCGAGTCCCACATGATCCCTGCACTCAAACCCACCACCATCAGAAAACCAAAAGAAATCAGAATCCCTGTCACCTCCAGTTTCTGTCACCCCCAACCACTCTCCAGAGGAATTTACCAATGCATGGAACTGTTGGGGTGGACACCCAGTGCCCACTGCTGGGCTTGAACATGAGTTTCTAGCTGGAGATATCCTCTTCCAGATCCATCTTTTGACTTCCTGATCACACCTTCTCAGGGAAAAGGCTCCTGCCTGGACCTGTGCACGGAGGCTCGCAGGGTTTGTCATCAGTGAGTTCTGCTGTCCCCACATCTCTGTGCAGCACCACTCACACCCAGTTTGGCACGGGGTGTCCCTTGTCCCCACATCCCCCCAAGCCATCCACACCATGCCCTGTGCTGCCTCACCCCAGCTCCCTCCCCACAGACCAACAAGTCAAGAGGGGAAGAGCAGTTGCCAATCCAGTCTCAGTCTAATTTTCAGTACTTCCAAAATTTCTTTCCTTTTACAGTTTTTCTTCCCTTTTTTTTTCAGCACTGAGCACTAATATTCTGTGTACCTGAAGTCACCCAGAAGCCTTTGGAGCTGCTGTGAATGACTCCTGCAAGTGCAGCCCATGCCAGGCCAGTGCACCTTGGGCCTCCTCACACATTGACCATCTCAGCTTGTAAACAGAAGTCATCAATCAGTATTTTAAATGGCTTGGCCTTTAACCTTAACATCTGTGGCCAAAACAGTGCTCTGAGCATCTGTGACCAGCAGCCTTTTCCCCCTCAGCTTTATGCTGAGAGCAGGCAAACAATAATAAAACCCAGAGAAAATGCCTGAGTGGGACCAGAGTGATACAAGCTCTTGTCCACAGGCAGAGTTAAATTGTCCAGCCATGAAGCATCTTAGTTATGAGGAGGGAAAAAGGAGGAAGATCTCAGCAAACAATGGGTTCCTCTGACTGCAGAAACATTCCTCTGCTCACTGTCTTACCTACTTTGAAGTCAGACACAAGGGATGGGGCCTTTTATAATATTTTGGATTTTTCTGTGATGGGCTTTCATCCCTGACATATTTAAAATGTGCTTTAACTTGGAGAAAGACAAAACTGAAATTCTCCAGGAATCCAAGTGATCCCTAAAGCCCAGAGCTCCGCACACTAATAATGTGGTTTCTTTGAAAAAAATAACACAAAAACCTAACTCAAAATCCCAAACCATGAGTGTTTTCATATTTCAAGTGGAATATGAGGACATCATACACTATATTTATCCATGTATAGCCTACATACAGAATTACAGCTGATTTCTCAAAAAAATATTACCTCAGCTTATTTGAAAGAGCAAATGTGCAATCACAGCAGACTATAGGTGGCAGCAGGAATGTCCTCATGCTTTAATTCTGTAAGGATCAGCACTTTGGTTTATATGCCCTAAATAATGACAGAGGAACAGTTTTGCCTGTGGATTGTACTGCACATAAGATAAAGCAACTTCTGTTTCCGTGCAAAACAGTCTTTCAGATCTTGATTTATTTTTTCCTGGCACTTGTTCATACTGTGCATTGATGGGGTCTCATATGGAGCAACCTGATGGAAGTATCGGGGAAGATTTACAGTTTTTTTACAACATCCTGGTGATGGATCGATATAATCAGCACAGAAATCATATCAGACAAAGCCAGAGTTATGGACAGATAAAATCCTTCATTTCACAAGAGATCCTCCGAAATGACACTGAGAGGTTAGGGATGGTCTGTTTATCTGTGAGCTAATAACTCTTTTCCTGTTTTATTGTTGTCACTTGAAATCTGAGGCTGATTCTGAGGTTCTGAAGTGCAGCCTGTTCTGAGGAAAATGCCACTGCTCTTTCCTGCCCTGCCTGGGAGGGGGAGGCCAAGCCATGCTCCTGCTACACGGGGCTGCCAAGGGGACAGCGCAGGCCACTGCTGCCCTCACAGACCTTACTCAGAGCAGGTGGCACAGGCAGAGACTGGAAATCAACCCCAAATCCCTCCAGCTTTCTCCCACTTTTCAAGGAGCCAAATGTAAGCCCAGAGTGTAGACTCCCAGGGAAAGTACATCAGAATGATTGGGTATTTCCCTTTCTACTCCATTCTGTTCACCAGTTACATTCCACCATTTTAATGCAACTTGAACTAAAAAAGAGGATAGGAGATGTTAAGCAAAATTCATTTTTTGTTGTGAAGATTTGGAGTAATCAAAAAAAAGTAGGGGATTCTTGCAGAAGGCAGATTACAGTTGTACTGCTGGCTTTTGGGAGTGCCTCTCTATGCTGCCTGAACACAGAACCTCAAAATGCACATCCCTGATTCAGGATCCTTTGCCGGGGTTCAAAAACTGTGAATCTGGAACTGTGAATCCCACAGAAGGGAATGAAGTCTCTTTTTCTCTTCCTATAAAATGTATAGAAGAGTGTAAAGTCCCTGAAAAGGACCAACTCTTGTTCAAACCGCAATAACAAAAGAAAATACAGAAGGATTGATTAAATACTAGAAAATATTATTAGAAGAAGGTTTAAAATTTCAAATCCAAGTTTTCTCCCATTCATGTATTACCATATTTTTTGTTATGATCCACATAACACTCAGCCTCCTCAGCTTTCCTGCAGCTCCTGAAGAAAACTCTCCTGGTGGGAGTCTGTGCCAGAGCATCCACCTGGACTTAGCACAGCTCTGCACCTGCACTCTGCCCAGGCCAGGGCTCACTTTGGAAGGAGAACAAATAGATGGAACAGACTCTCAGCAGGGCTGCTGCCCCTTCACATGAAATGAACAGGTGCTATTTCTCTGACTAATTCTGAAAAACCAAAAAAAGCAAGGCCTTAGCGAACAACTCGCTTAATTATTTCATCTTATTTGTTGGTCTGAAGTTTTTATCACCTTCCACAGTGACAAATCTTTTCTGGTTTGAATCCTCTGTTGTATGACATCTTTAGCACCACACTTACTGGAAGTATTCTTACCTGTAATTAAATCATGAGGACCTACAGATCTGCCACACTTCCCATCCAGGATGTGCTGTGAAGATGTGTGGAGCTGTTGGATAGCTAAGCATTCACTGAGTACATCTTGTTCAATATCAGTACAGGACTTTAGCTACAAGAGGAAGATAAAAGAAAAATTGTGTTACATAGTAAAACCAAATTATTTATAATTAACTTCATATCTCTCCTTATATATAGAAGGAAGAAATGCCATTCTTAGGAACTCAGTGTAATTAAGGATGTGTCTAGTACATGGTACTTGTAATTAAAGATTACTTTGGTTTTCTGAAGTGCACAAGTTAAGTGTGGTAATCTTACATTAACAACCAGTTTACTTCAAAAAATAATGTACCCTGTGTTCCTTCAACCCTTCCTGAGTAACTGAACTGCACATTTTCAGGCTTTCTGTAGTTTCTTGGATTCTGTGGCAAAAGGTTTGCATCACCCCGTAACTGTGACACTTGGAAAGACATTTGATAGGGAAGGAAAAGCGTTTGTGCTGATCAGATTAGAAGTGGCAGAGCGAGGCGCTGTCGGTGATGGGGAAGAGGTACCACTCACGTGTCAGCTGTGCTCCATGGAAATTAAAGCTCTGGCAAAAGGGTCTGAAGCAAACTCTCAAAAACCACAACGTCGATCATATTAAAAACAGCAGGAGAGGAGAATTAAGAAAGAAAAGCATTTCTAATTCTCTTTCAAACACGCTGATGCTGCCAAGCTTTTGTCATAACAGAGCGATCGCATTACACAAACAGCCATCATATTCTACAGCCATTAATAAATAGTTATTGTCCTTATGGGTACAGCCTCACATACCCATCTCCCCTGGGCTTGGGTATTCTAAATAAAGGGTCCAGGCAAACCTTCTCAGAATTCTGCTCTACAGCCATTTGTGGGTTCGAGATAAACATCTGACATTTGGATCACAAGTGCATCTGCAGCCAATTAAACTACTACTAAATTAACAGCTAACTTTCTCCTGTTTTGTTTCTGTAAAGCCTTTCAGAACAACCAAATATCACCACTGCACTAATCCTCTAAGCTATGAACTAAGTGCTCAGGATTCCTTTGATACAAGTCTAAGCTCAGGCATTTTGTTTTGTATCAGAGATGGCACATTTTGGTAGCATGTCTCAACCAAGACATGTTGGCAGAACAGCTTGTTAATTTTTCTTTCTTGGCTAGGTCATTTTCACTCAGAACTCTTGGGAAGTTGATACCAACAGACAAGTGCCTTTGCTGAGTTATAACCAAAAATGAGCAAGTGAGTATAAACAGTCTTTTCCCTTTTTTCCTACATCTGAAATCCAAAGTAGGCTGTTCAATAACACTGGGATTTACTTAGTTGTGAAAGGTTTTTAATATAATAACCCCAGGTTGGCGCTTTTTAATATATTTAAGTGAAATAGTTAGGGGGGCAGTTCTTGTTTCTTTATCAGCCAGGTTTACTTTGAACCTTTTTAAGAGAGCCTGACCAAAACACAAAAATCTGCTGCTTTTTCAAGTGCCTTTCAATTTGAAAGAAAAAAGTCAAAGGATTAAGTATTCATGAAGTTATAATGGATAAATGAGACAGGAAATCTAAAGATGATTTCAAACCACTGGAGGAGTGCAGATTTAGACTGGTCTACCAAATAAGGTGTGGGAGGCAAGCTACTAACATTATTTTAAGATACATTTGATAAGTCTATACGAGGCTTTGTACATGCACACAGGAAAATTCCTCAAGGCAGGAGATTATGTGATATGAAACCCTGGATATTGATGTATTGGTGCATCCAAGCAGCCTGAGTTTGCAGCTGCTGTTAACAAATTTGTCCTGGATTGATTCTGTGCTCCAGGCCTCCTGCTGCTGATGCAGGAAACACTTTGTGCCCTCTCACACAAAGTTTGGATTTGGGTTTTTATCCCCACCTTGCTCTGTAGAAATGGAACAAGGCCTCAGGAAGTGACAAGGTGTAACAGTGGGGACTGTCCCTAGATGTAAAGGATGGTGACATATTAATGCATTCAGCCCAGTACACAGAGCTGAACAAATGACACCCAGGTTTTTTCTCTGAAGTATGCCAGAAACCATAAAGGAAGGAAAAATGGGGAAGTTCTCTTCTTTGGAATAAGGAGCACAGTTGCTTTCCACAATCTGCTGAGAATTTCACGTGAGAAACCTTCCTGTTGCAAAGATCTTGCAACTGCAGAAGACTGGTGGCAGAGTCACCCTCTTTTTGTGGCCAATTACTGCTATGGCCTTCTGACTCTTACTCTCATTACACAGCATTAATTACATAGAATTAATCAATTACTGCCATGGCACTCTGACTCTTACTCTCATTACAAGCTAAAGGTAAATCTAGGGAAGTGTTGGGAATTTTATGATCTGTGGGACACACATGCAGAGCACATCCTGTGGAACCTTCTAAAGCTGAGAGCTGCAGGGAAACCACAAGGCCTGGTAATACAAACTGGGATGGTAAACGAGGCAGTGGCCAGTCTAGATAAAGCTTTTGAGTGGAGCTGGTATGTGCACAGACGTGATTCCATGGACACCTGGATGGTGCTGGGCCTGTGTGTCTCCCAGGCACAAAGCTCACCATGCAGTAAGGGATCCATGAGTATGTGACACAGCGTGCAGAGCTCTGGCCACTGATGTGCTGGGAGCTGCTACTCAGACTGCACACATCTGGCAGAGAGAAGGGTTACAGGAGAGTTTGGGGACACACAGCTGTCCTGGGAAAGGGGACTCTACGTTCAAGCTGCTGAAAACTCTACAAGAGGAGCAGCAGGAGGGAAGGGGCCATGGCTGACCCAGGGACATCTCTTCTATTCCAAGTCCTCTCTTCCTACATTTCCACTGTACCCTGGCTTAGTTTCATTTGTGTTTCAGATGATCTGCCAACGTGTACTTTAGTAAATACCACCAGTTAGTGCTGACTGCAGAGACTCAGTGCATGGACATTTTATGTGAATGACAGCACAATTTGGGCTTGTGTATAAAAGATGAACAGGAAAATAAATGCTTGGACAGAAAGTGTGGAGCAAACTGAAATTAGAGGGTGGCAGCCTTTGAAAGTACACATATATGAAGTGGTCTGGTTAACAACAGTGATTAAAAACCAGGAAAATCAGCTCCATTTAAGTTTTCTTCCGTGATATTACAAAAAACTGATCTGAAAATATATGAATTAGAGGTAAATGAAAAACGACAGCATTGAGGAGCTCTGGGGATGTGTCGCTCCTTGCCTGCTCTTACCTTCTTACGCACCTGCTGCTCTTTGGCCGAGTGAGCCTTGACGTGCTTGCGCAGGGAGCTGGGGTCGGTGTAGCGCTTGGAGCAGCCGGGAATCTGGCAGGCGTAGGGCTTCTGGGAACGGAGCAAAGGGACACATGTCACAGCCCTGAGCCCGCCCCAGCCAGCACAGGAGGCTGCAGGACGGGCACACGCAGTGCTGAACCTGAGCTGTTCCCTCTCTCTGCTGGGCCCACGTTTGCTCTGTCTCCTCTGAGCTCACAGATCAGGCACGATGCAAACAAAGATGATTCTGTACTGCCACACTGGATATGGCTCATTGGGCTGAGCTAAATGCTAGTGAGGTAGAACTGAATGGGTTTTGAGAATATTTCTTTATTCCCTAGCCTTTACAGCAAACAGAATTATCATGGCATCACCCAGTATAATTATAAAGACAGACATTCTGATTTTGAGTTCTGATTTACATAAATTTTACAAGGATTGTTGGGCACTGGTGAGACCCCACCTTGAATCCTGGGTGCAGTTTGGAGCCTCTCACAACAAGAAAAGCACTGAAGCATGTCCAGAGAAGGGCAATGGAGTTGGGGAACAGTCTGGAGAACAAGGAGTGGCTGAGGGAGCTGGGAGGGCTCAGCCTGCAGAAAAGGAGGCTCAGAGGAGACCTTCCCAGTGACTGAGATCCTCACCAAATTCTTCTTGTGGCTATGCCTATTCCTAACAAATGGAACACTATCTCTGCTTACAGAACAAACTCCAAATGAAAGTGCAATTGCCGAAATGAGCAAAGGCACTTTTTACTATTGCTTTAAATGCCAGCAAAATAGTGCTGCATGGCACAGCTCACAAAGCTTTCAAGTTGAATGGAACATTTTGTCCTCTGTTTTCTTGCCTCATCTATCAACATTACCTCAACCTTCTCACTAGGACTAGCAAATCCTTCTGGTGTCTTCTCAAAGGTAGAAAATTGGTTTGCCATGACCTTGATGTCACATTCCTTAATCCCCTTGGTTTCTGAAGGAGGATGCACAGAAGGGAAAAAATCCCACCAGTTTTGGGAGAAGTGACTGTGAGATCCTGTAAACCCAGTTGCTCTGCTCCTGGACGAGTGCTGATGTGCCCTTTTTACCACAAGGACAGGCAGGTTCCCTGTTCTGCTCCTGCCTAGGAGAAGGATCTATCTACTTCCAGATGATTTAGTAGGGATTCCACCAAACTAGCATACACCAGTAAGTGAAATGATTTACAGATTCTCCTTTGGAGAAGATAAATGGTGGAGTGACCTACATTGAGAAGCTTTAAAACCAATTCCAAATGCACTCAGTAAGGAAAAAGCAGTCTATATAAACCCCTTTCTTTGTAAGTACCTCCAGAGGATAAGTATTGCTGCTCTGTCCAGCCAGCAGGAAATTTCTGAAGGAATAATAGAATCATTCACCAATTCATGACCTTACAGGCTAACACAGCACCTACCCAGAAAGTTACAGGGCAAAGGAGATTTATTGAGAGTGTCTGGAACACAGAGAACTGACACCTGAGGAAAAGCTATGGAAAACTTTAACAAATCCCTTGGCAGAAAAACTACCAGAGTATTTTTCAAATCACTGATGTCATTCAAATTAGTGATAAAATCATTCAACTCAGTCCTAGGGAAACTAGATGAGAATGTGATCACCCTTACAAAGGTTCATGGCTATTTGCTCTGACATTCCAGGCAGTTGTTTGGTGCAGCAGCACCATCCTGTAGCTCTGCTGTTGTTCATGTTCACATAAGCACACAATTCACTGAGCTTAAACCACAGAGCTTCAATTAAATCAGGTAAGTGGAACTCAGTTACTGTGTGCAGGACTACAGAAACAGTTTTAGAGAACCTGCAGTGGAACAGCATGGAGGATGGTTTTAGATATTTAAGAAAGTTATTAGAAAATGATTACTGTACCTTTTTCCTGATTTATGAGCATTTCAGATAATAAAGACAGAGATAAAGGGAGAAGAGAAGAAAATAGAAAGTTAAGACATTTGTCTTCAATATTACACAGATAACACATACAAAGAATTTGTGCTCATTTTAGTAACCATGTCAGTTCTCTCTTAAAACTAATAGATGACATTTCATTTGTGAGTCATGCTAATAAAAAATGTATCTACTAGATTCAGGCAATTAAATTCAAAAACTACATGCAATTTAGTATATCCACTTTAAAAAGAGATGCAAATTACAAATTCAAATATCTCAGGTTGGCTTTCAAATAAATAAAACATTGTTATTTTAAGTGTGCTTTGGTTTGGAAAATGTGACTGACTTGCTTCTCTTACTTGTTTGTTTTTGCAAGGCATAATGTACATTAGACATTCCTTAATGCTGCACTGTCTGAAATGTGTAACTGCTTAAAAAGTAAATATCAATTAAACTCAAAAGTTCTGCCCCATAAACACTTGGCCAAACTAAACCATATATTCACTTCTTTGAAAAAGACAAAGGAACAACTCTGCCTGTCATTCTTTACAAGCTTTATGCTGAGGACATGACTGGTCTGCAGAGCTGTCTCAGGGCTTTCTTTCCCCATCATCTGGTGATTTCATTTCAGTAGAGCCCAAGACACTTGACAGGCTCCCATCCTCTCTGTGAGACAAGTGAGAAGAGCTGCAGAATCAAGCCAAATCTACCAAGTGTGGAGAATAAAAGAGTGTGTTTCTCACAGTTAATCTGATGGAGGGTACTTAACCGATTCCACAGAGTTATGAGACAGATTTATTTTCACTTTTTACAAAATTACCGTCCAAAACTGAGGTGCATTTGCCTTCCACTGAGAGGTCTGAACAGCTTTTGCATTCACTCAGAGCACTCACTGAAGGGGACAGGAAGTGAGACAATGACACATTCGGTGCAGCAGCAGTGACTCAGCTACACCTTACTGAGCTGCTGCCTCCTCTTACTGGAACAGGAACAATGGCAGAGCTTGCTGAGTCACTCACTCCTGCCTAACTCACTCCTCAGCGTGAGTAACACAGAACAATTGCCTCTCTGTGATCGAGACTTTTTCATTTCTCAAAGCACATACAATTCAAAACCAAATACACTTGCTCATAGCTGAGTTTTCTAAGACTCTCCTCATGAAAAGGCCAAGTCCCCCTGCAGTTGCAGAACCGATTGTGTACCAGGAGCACTGGAAAACTCGGTGCAGCTCCCAGTATGAAATCATGCTTACGGTGTCCAGGTGTGTCCGCTGGTGCTTTGCCCGGTCACTGGAGTTGCTGAAAGCTTTCTGGCAGCCAGGATGCTGACACAGGTATGGCTTCTCCCCAGTATGACTCCGGAGGTGAATCTTGAGGTTCTCAAGCCTAGAAAATGCCTTGTTGCACCCTTCAAACTGAAAAACGTCATAAAAAAATCATTGTAAGGTTCTATTAAATAAACCATGTGGAGCCACAATGAGAACAGTGTAAGAACCAAGTTGGACATGCAATAAATCCATCAACATTCAAACATCTGTTGAAATTTATGGATGAAGCACAACATATTGTGCTGTTCATTTAATCTGTCACCGAAGACACGGTGTGCAGCTCAGTAATAATACAAGGATTATAAATATCTCACACATTCTGTCTGAGCTGAACACTTAAAGACAGGGTATCAGAGCAGAAAATTTAAAGAAAGAACAAGTGTTCTGAGGATGTTCTGAGATGCTAACTGGCACAGGAGCCACTGTGGGCAATAACAATTAGCTGCTACAGACAGAGAGTAAGAGAAGCTGGTGGGTTAGAACTGGGTTTCAGGTGTCTGAAATATTATACACTGGAGCAGATGAGCATGGACTATTACAGGAAGACCTGATCCATTTGAAGATCAATCCAAAGGAACTCTGCTGTTATTCTGCACCCTTTTCTTTACTAGCTGTACCATTCAGAGCTGTTCTCAGCATTTATACAACCAGTAACCTGAGCAACTCTGACTTCTTAAGCACCCGTTTCATTAGGGAGCTCAGCAATAAAACGCTGCATAGCCTTCATAACAGAAGTCACTGTTTCAAATTAAATCTGAATAAATATATAAGTAAAATTTCCAGCTACTAAGTCAAGGAAAGGGTGTTTTGCTAAGCCTCAGTGTTACAGACAACAGGCAGCGGAGGCACTGTCTGTAGGATGGGAACTCTCCCAGGTGAGCACAAACACCCGTGTGTGCACATTCGTGCACCTGCACACCCACAAATGCACTCAGATACTTGCACATGTTCAAACACTTGCATGCAAATACTCAAGTGAAGGAGTGCATATTCTTTGCCCACTTTGCACATATTGCTGTTTCATGGCACTGCACATCTTCTTATGCCTCTACACAGATAAAAAACTGGTTCTTGGATTTGTGATTCCAAGGAATGTATTTGAGAAACACAACCCAATCCACCTTCCTGTCAACACTGAGAGCAATTCTGAAATACAGTAGGTGTATCCTCATAGAATGGTTTTGGTTGGAAGGGACCTTTAAGGGTCACCTAGTTCCAAGCCCTGCCATGGGCAAGGGACACCTTCCACTATCCCAGGTTGCTCCAAGCCCTGTCCAACCTGGCCTTGAGCAATTCCAGGGATGGGGCAGCCACAGCTTCTCTGAGCAACCTGTTCCAGCCACTGTTTCTAGAAGCCACAGCTTTTTCTATGATTCTTGCTCATAAACAGTGAAATCCTGACTCTCACAAAATCAGAAAATGCTTTGTCACTTCCTTTTGCTGAGTCAAGATTTTGTTCAGCAGCTTTCCAGGAACCTGTGGCTCCTCAGATGTCATCACAGAAATCACCACCCTGCCAATCTTGCTTGTCACAGACACCTCTGGCACACATCAGGGCATGCAAACTGCAGACTGGCTGTGGCAGCCACCAGTGCAGGGGGAGAGATGGGAAGGGAGAGCAGCTGCAGATGGAGGAGCACTGAAGGTGCTACAACCTGGATGGAGGCACCTGATCTCCCAGGGCCTGCCAAAGGGGATGGAGAGAGGCCCAGCACATTCTGCTTGCCAGGGTGTTTGGTAAATACCTCAGCACAGCAACCACAGTGATTCCTGAGCCAGCACCTCACGTTGCAGGCTGTGTCCTGGCAGTGGATGCAGATCAGCTCTGCACACCACAGGCAGAGGGTTTCTGGCACTTCTGTCTGTCACTCACACATCAAAGGATCAATGTGGCTTTTACTGCCATACATGTTTTAGTGCCCTGACCTGTCTGAATGGCATACTGGGTATGTGTACAGACAACTATCTGATATGTATATATTTTCCATCTTTTCCCACCACAGCCAGATCCACAAAATCACCTGGAGACATACAGCTTTGAGTTCAGAAGCTTTGTTTGGCCACAACCCACCTCTGAACACTTGAGCTGGTGCAAGGAGGCAAGGGGGTTTGGAAGTGACCAAAGCCACCAAGACTTCAGATGAAACAAACTTTCTTCACAATCATCACTAAAAATCTGACTAAGATTCAGGATGGAGCAATCTGAATTTTGCAAAAATGCTGAAGTCTATGAAAAGTAGAGCAGAGTTCAGCAAACTCATACTTCTCATAGGACATTCCATACAGCTGAGTGAATGTTCTGAGGTCCCAAAGATCACTTTTTTCCTTTTTGTTCCCAATTTTTCTCCTTTCCAGCCTTCTTTGATTAGTGTACCCACAGGGTGGCATCCCTTTGAAGTATTGTCCCTTTCATTTCTCTTCCAGGTTCCCTTCAAGCACTGAGAGGCTGCTCTAAGTCTCCCTGGGGCCTTCTCCAGGCTGAAAAGCCCAACTCTCTCAGTCTTTCTTCTCAGAAGAGGTGTTCCATCCCTTGGAGCTTTTTTGTGCTCCTTCACCCCCCAGCCTGTGTTGATACCAGGGCTTGCCTTGAACCAGCTGCAGGACCGTGGACTTGGCCTTGTTGAAACCCCACGGGCCACTTCTGGAGCTTGTCCAGGTCCCTCTGGATGCCACCCCATCCTTCAGGAGTGTCAGCTGCTCCACTCAGCTCGGTGTCACCCGCGAATTTGCTGAGACTGCACTTGGTGCCACTACAGACCCCCAAGGGACACCACCTGTCACCCATGTCACCACTCTGGATGTCACCATCATTCCTCCTTCACTGAGCACTGCAGCCATCAAATCCATCTCTCTCCAACTGAGAGAGAAGGATCTTGACCCTCAGAATGTTCTTCTGATGGATTACCAGTCTTCAGTTCCATACCTAGAGCCCAGTGCAAAGTAGCAAGGTATGCAGAATAATCCAAACTCATTAAAGGTCCAGCTCCACTTTCATTGATGTCAGTAGCAAAAATTCCAACAGCAAATGTCCCAAAACATCTAAACACAAGCTTAATTTAAAACACATGAAAGCACACATGTTTAAGAGTCTGCTGGATCGACACCTCAGGGAGAGAAGGAGCAGGCCCTACCAGAAATGCTCAGAGCTGCAGTGAAAGCAGCAACACTCAAACAAATATGGGCTTATTTACACACCCTTCTGTGGTCAGCTGCCTTCTCTTGGTAAGAATGTCCAATGCCTTCAGCAGTAAGGTTCCTTCATCAACACGTATGCTTGGACATTCAGAGCTTTTCTTATTTATATTTCCTAATTCACAATATTTGCATTACCCAGGTTTATTAAACTGGGTAACAGACAGTGGATGGTCCCAATGCAGTGATAAACTCAGGATAAACATGTCAGGAGGAAAAATACACCAGCAAAGAGAATGATGTGACTGCAGTACTCAGATTTTCAAGTTGGCAAAGGCTGGGTTGGTGAAACAGGAATTCCATTCAAGAGGAAAGCAGTGGGGACAAGAACCTTGCCACAAGTGATGAGAAGAGAGGAAGCTGAAGATGAAAGGTCTCAAAGGAAGGGAGGAATGGAGTCGGTGCAAAGAGCTGAGCAGGGTGGGGCTGAGAATCCACCCAGAGCTGCAGGAAGAGCTGCTCTTTGAAGGACCCCTTTTTCAGCTCTCTCATTTCTGCATCTGCTGACTGCATCTCTCACAGTTTGTCCCTACTGAAGTCCCACACATGGAAACAGCTTCCCTGAAGTGGTGCAACAGCTTCAACTGGGCTGCTGCTGTTAAGACAACTTTGTAAGGTAGTTCTTGGGTTTAACTGCTACTCACCAACTCTTTTAACCCTTCCACCTACTCCTACTACTTGGAGTATATTTACATTTACACTATATGAAACTACTCTAGGAAGAATGTGGTGCTCATTCTCCTTCATAAATACCCTCCAGGAAGATCCAGCCATCCCACAAGTGTCTCAGCTTCGACTACAAAGAACAAATGTTCAGTTTCAAAAGGGCTTCAGGATGGCAAGAGCTATTTTATCAACTGAGAAGGCCACTTATGGGATCTCCCAGACATCTGGCCCCAATCTGTCACTGCTTAATCCTACAATCCTAAACATTTTGTGGACATTTGATGCCTGGGATAAGTGTAACAAATGCTGCATGATCCTCAAAGTCTGTAAATGTCAACAGAGCTCTTAAACAAGTTTCATCAATAAAAATAATAATTATATTGCAATTACTACTTTTGCCTTTGCTGTGAGATCGTTAATGCTGCACACACCCAAGCACAGACACAAAACAATGCCACATGATTACAGGAAGAACACAATGCAGTTATTGGGTTTTATAACTACTGCTGCTTTCAGAACAGGGCTTCTACCAGGAAAAAACACCTTGTAGAAATTTGTGTGACTAAACTAGTTTGTCACCATATGGAAATACATATGTTATCTTTATTTCACACTTAAATCTCACTGCAGTGTCGCTGTTGCAAGATAACGCATTCAAAAGCCATATTTATAAAAACACTAAATTATCTCACATTGATCTAAACACATCACAATTTTTCCAACAAAACAGTTTAATCTAATAACTATAATTGCTTAAAATGTTTTTTCTTTGCTTCCAGATTATACTTTGAATGCACCTGAGAATGTTGCCATGCAGAAATAACAGCATGTTCCCAAGAGGGTTTATATTATCAAATGTTTACCATTTTCGTAAGCGTATTTAATCACAGTCATGTCTAGCATATCTGTCAGAGGTACAGATCAGAAGAAATAAACTATAAACTAACCAGCTCAGACCATAGGGTGAAGCAATAACTGACATTTTCTTAGGAAATGAGTTATGACTGAAAAAGAGAAGGCTTCACAGTCGTAGTGCTAAATAGGTCCAGTGTGCCATTAGAGCAAGCTCATTAATATACACCTCTGCTCTCTGCTGCAAGATCAGTTAAACAAGCTGCCTTTTATTTATAGACCTAAAAGGGAAAGAGCAGGTCATATTGGCTGCTGACATCTCAGACAGCCTACAGATGGAAAACCCAAAACATTTCATTCCAAAGCATTTAATGCTA